CCCCAAAACCCCAAAACCCCAAAACCCCAAAACCCCTTAAAACTATTATCCATATTTTAAAAGAAATGAAATTTACAAAATAATTAAAATGATTTATAACAGACATTAGCCACAGCTTTCTCGTAATCGTACAAATAATTAGCTTGATAGCAGAAGATCTTCGACTGTTTTAACTGACTTCACAAACTTAAGGCAAACCCCAAATAGCAAATATCCTACCAATTGCAATTTCCAAGGTTCAGAATTCTGTTGTGATTTTACTAAATCTCTAAGTTTTCAGGATTAAAAAGTAGATGAGTCTTAATTTTAGCAATCCCAATCATTCAAGACTTAATTGCAAATAAAATATCAAATCAATTAGTTATCCTTTGGAATTAAAGAACAATATAGCTTAAAGAGATAAGATCTACTTTTGAATTAGAATTGATTCTTTGGAATAAACTTAAATGATGTTAAAGGCAAAAGCAAAGATGGTATAGCAGCTAATTTTAGTAAGATTGAGAAAAGACAACTATTAAGTGAGATGCAGATTTAAACATTAGATCAATTTCAAGAAGAACTTATTGACAATGAATATTCAGGTGATTCTAAGAAGCCTTAAAAAGATGTCTTGATAATTATGAAGCATATAGTCTATTAAAAAGAATTTTAGGAATTGCTTAGTTTTATGTCTAAGTACATTTTGATTGATTGCTTTTGGACCAACAGAAAAGTTTATGATGTTCAATCCCCATCTATACTTTTCTAAAAGTTCAGTGAGAAAGGATTATGCGATGTAGCAAAAAAGATATTGTATGCCTGTAATTTTAAAAGGCAAATCTTCAATTAGTTTGGAATTAGAGTCAGCAATTTCATAATTTCTAAAATATTCTTCAATTTAAGTGATGATCTAGATGCTCTTGATAAGTTTATGAATCCTCCTGACATCCAGTTATTTATGCTTTGGACAAAAGATTAAGATTAATTTGTTGATCAGTTTTTCGATGATTTGCATCAAGGCAGTGAATTGATCTTAGCAAAAGCAAGATAATTATTTCAGATAAAAGGTGTTAGAACTTGGTCTGATATGTAAATATAATACTTTTTAATGCAGAGATAATTCTATCTAAGATAATATAAATCAGAAATGTGATGATGATAATACTACTATTAGTTTTCTTCTGTATTAATTTGTTTATTATTGAATATTTTACTTAATGAATCAGGGATTACTCAAGCGGGGTTTTGGGGTTTTGGGGTTGGGGTTTGGG